GGGTTCCAAAAATGAAACCGTCCCTCTCCTCTTCATGGTGGATAATCAACTTGTCTCGTTAGGATCAAGACTTAACAGAGCCAAGACTGACTGACTTCCTGTGGTGGAACAGAGATGTCTGGAATAAAGCAAGAGACTGGAGGCAAGAAGTCACAACAGATTGTTCTCAGTGGGACATCGCAACAAGAGAAGTTTTCAGAAAAATCAACTACTACTAAGTTCTGTTTAACTCCGTGTACTTTCCACTGATTTGTAAGGCGCCAGGAAACTCGCTTTACTGTTTATGACGTTATACACTAACATAAAGTTTAAACTGTGTGAGGCTTGACGAGTTTAAAATAAAAAAATTGAGAAAAAATATGCTGAATTTCTAAATAAGATTTGAAGATAGACATGAATGGTTTTGATCATTTACTGCGAGTGTTGTCGGCTAAAAAACATCTCCGTGTGCTGTTAACAAACTCTTGAACAGCGGCTTAAAAATTACATAAAATATGAACTCAGTATGTGAAAAAATATACTAGTTTTAAAATTATTAGTGTTATTTTATTATTCTGAGATTATAAGTAATTTGAACATACTCAAATTATATTATCATATATATCATATACATATTCAACAGTGACATCTGATGATGTAATAAATAATGTGAACGGAACAAACAGCTATGAAGCAACACCATTTTACTAAAGTAATGTGTTTATTATTTATTTATATTTTAGAGAAAGTTTACTAAAACCTGGGAAAACTAAAGTTATTTATTCACTTGGAACCAAATAAATAATAAATTAGGGTTTTATATGACACTTTATGCTATTGCTTCATATTCATTTATTTTGAATGTCATGCTTATTTTGGTTCTAAAACTAGAGTTTTGTCATGTGAAATGTTATCCTAACAATTTACTTTTATTTAAATTGATCATTGATATTTGTATTTTTTAATCACTTATGGCTTCTATTTCTAAATGTTTTTTTTTCCAAAGACAATAATACTACTACTACTACTACTAATAATAATAATAATAATAATAACAATGATGATGATGATGATATTCCTAACCCTAACCC